TCAGTCCTTCCAACGAGTATTCAGGGTTGATTTCCCTTAAAATCGACTGGTTTGATCTCCTTGCTGTCCAAGGGACTCTCAGGAGTCTTCTCAGGGAGCATTAGTTTCTGCCAAAGGACTCAAAGATATTATTACGTATATCCTGAGGAGGAACCAGGACCCTCTTTTATGACGGCTCCTCCATTGTTTCTGCATTCCCTCCCTTCTCTTATAGGCCACTGTTTGAATCTGCCCTTTGGAACTCAGGGAAGGTCAAGGAGAATGAATGAACAAGAATCAGGGGACATGAAAAGGATCTGTAACTGTGAGGGCCCCACAGGTTCTTGCTTGGTTTCAATATTAAAGATTGAGTATATGTTGATGAAATACAAAAGAAAATGCTACCATTTAAAGTTAGTGATAAATCCATTATAAAGTAAAATAGCTTCAATACAAAAGTATTTCAGTAATTGTAGACCAAGGCAGTTTTCACTTAGTGGTCAGAAAATACTACTTTGTCTGACAGAGGAAATACAAACTACGAGTTAATAGAATTTTACTCTGGTGTTTGAGGAGCCATAGCTGAGACTTTGTGTGAAAGTTTGCATTTTTTTTAATAGCTGGTTCAGCTGTCGTAATCAGGAAGAACTATTACTAAATTTGGAAACTCCAGATTTAAAGGATGTTTAGAAAGTTAGACTTGCTTCCAATACCACATCATTATAACAAAGTGAAAATTTCTAACATATGGTACAGCTCCTAAATGAAAATTAATCCTAACAATTGCTATTTTTCAATGTTTGAAAATCTCACAGACAGGCCTGACAAAACAATACAAATTGAAGAATTCTGAGGAGAAGTTGCATGAGTCACAGTGTGGTGAAAACTGATATAGCAGACAGCCACATATTTAATGGGCCTTAATATCCAGAGCCAATAGAAACAAATCATAAAATTTCAGCTGAAGTTCCCATCATGTCTTCATCAGACTATGATTCTGAGGAAATTTCTGAGTTGAAAATAAAAGCTGTATTCATATCAATTAAAACTGAAAAAGTAATTATAGTTTGAAATGGCCAGGAAATCCCTATATACTTAAGCATTTTGTTATTACCTTCCCTTTAGGCCCACATTCTTGAACCCAAGCAGGGCCCTGCAGGATCCTCCCAAGTGTCAAAGCCTTTATGTGTCCCTCATTTCTTTCTTGTGCAAAAACGGCTCCAGCCTTCTAGAACTTCCCTGAGTTTCAAGTGGCATTCAAACAGTTACTAATTAGAAAAGTAAGGAAATGCAGAAATACAAAGAAAGCAGTCACAAACAACAGTGCAGTGATATAATAGGGTCCAAATTCCTCCTCAATGGATACACATGGCATTCTGACACCTATCTTTTAGTTCTTCTATAAAAAACAAAGGCCCCTACCCAAGTGCAAGATGACAACCTTAGGTCAAGCACAAGATTCAGGAACACTGTCCTGTAACCTCACCACCAACCAATCAGAAGAAACAGATGCACCCTGCAACCCTCATCCAAATTTTATCTTTGAAAACTCATCTCTGAAAACCACTGGGAGTTTGGATCATTCGAGCATGAGCTAACTGTACTCCTTGCTTGGCCCTTGCGATAAACCTTTCTCTGCTCTAAACATGGAGGTTTTGGTTTGTTTGGCCTTACTATGCATGGAGAACACAAATTTGGGTTCAACAGCATTCTTTATATATACCAAATATCCATTGGGATATCCTACACTAATCATAAATGTAATTGGTCCACTTCTCTCATTTCAATTAGACAGTAATGTAGCAAAATGCTCTTGTAAATACCATAAATAAATCTCTATTTGCTACTATGACTAATGTGAAAACAGTCTGTAGCTTGCTATGTTACACACACACATACAAATTTTATGTATGTGAAACAGGACAGAAGGGGCAGGGCATAATCTTTAAAAGAATGGCATAACCATAGAACATGATCAAAACTGGTTAGAAACAACAAGGTTGGAGATGGTGGAAGATTAGATCTCCAGGAGACTTTGAAGCTCATTATGCACTCACTGTAAATATGTTAGCACCTGAATGACACACCATTAGCACCATGACAGTTCTGGAGTCAAGCAAAAGCCAAAAAGCCAAATAGTTCTGAGGTCAAGCAAAAGCCAATTCCTGGAAAACCCAGACCCCTCCCTGAAATAGTTGGAATAATCCTCCCATTAATTAGCCTATGAAATTACCTAGCCCATTACAACTAACCATGCTATATTTTAGGACCGCTCTCAACTTCTGAGAGAGCTAGTCATTAAGACAGTATGACTTATTGTGACAGTACTGGCACAAAAATGAAAATATAAATTAAAAAAATATATATATAAATGGAATAGGATAAAAAGCCCAGAGATAAAACCACACACCTATGGTCACCTAACCTATGACAAAGGAGGTAACAATATACAATGGAGAAAAGACAGTCTCTTTAATAAGTGGTGCTGGTGAGGTCAAAATTGTCAGGCAGTTAGTGTAGGAACTCTAAGACCTTGGCCTGTTTCAGTAAACATCCTGCCCCATTAACCTAAAACTATACCCCTTGTCATAATTCCTGGCTCTCAGAGGAATGTGTCCTTGGTCTAACAAATTATAAGCACTCAGATCCAGAAAAGGGTAGTAATTAACTTCTGTTCCATATGCCTGAGGGAGAAACAACTGGTGATCATTAATCTTTAGCCCATACATCTGGTCCACTGTAAAATGTCCGGGGAATCATGAGAAAAGGTTGTGAGATGGTGACTTAATGTCTAAGAAAACAGAATCTGAGGATCAAAAGAAGTCACAAAGATGAGAAGTTGAACATTGTGGCCTTTAAGCAGATTGGTTATAGATGACATATGTTAAAAGTAAGAACCAATCAAAAGTGCAAACATCAATACTAGTAAGGATATAAACTTCTGTAAGTCGCGCCTTTTCGGGGAACTTCACTCCCTCTCAGTATCTATGCTGAAAGCTTTGTACTTTCTCTCTGAAATAAATCCTGTTTGCCTGCTACCATGAGTGCTTGTGTGTTTGCAAAGTTCATTCTTTGGTTCAGCAAACAAGGACTCGGATTTCCATTGCACTGGGAAAACTGGACAGCTATGTCTAAAATAATGAAATTAAAGCACTTCTTAGCACCATACACAAAAATAAACTCAAAATGAATTAAAGACCTAATGTAAGACTGGATACTAGAAAACTCTTAGAGGAAAGCATAGAATACATTTTGACATAAACTACAGCAAGAGTTTTTTGACCCACCTTATAGGGTAATAAAAATAAAAGTAAACAAATAGGGCCTGATTAAATTTAAAAGCTTCTGCACAGCAAAAACAAACAAACAAACATAAACAGATGAAAAGACAACCCACAGAATGGGGAAAAAAAATTACAAACGAAGCAACTGATAAGAGACTCATCTCTAAAATATACAAACATCTCATGAAACTCAATATCAAAAAAAAAAATAAAATAAATAAAATAAATAAATAAATGGATGGAGGACCTAAATAGACGTTTCTCTGAAGAAGATATACAAATGGCCAAGAGGCACATGAAAAGATGCTCAACATCACTAATTAAGAGAGAAATGAAAATCAAAGTTACAATGAGATATCACCTCACACCAGTCAGTATAGCCATCAAAACGTCTACATAAAATAAATGCTGGAGAGGGTGTGGAGACAAGGGAACCCTCCCTACACTGTTGGTGGGAATGTAAATCAGTACAGCCACTATGGAGAAGAGTGTTGAGACTCCTTAAAAAACTAAACATAGAACTATTGTATCATCCAGCAATTCCACTCCTTGGCATATATTCAGAGAAAACCATTTGAAAGGATACATGCACCCAGTGTTCACTGCATTGGTGTTTACAATAGTCAAGACATGGAAGCAACCTAAATGTCCATCAACATATGAATGAATAAAGATGTGGCACATGTATAAAATGGAATATTACTCAGCCTCTAAAAAGAATGAAATAATGCCCTCTGTAACAACATGGATGGAGCTGGATATTATCATACTAAGTGAGGTAAGTTGGACAGAGAAAGACAAATACCATGTGATATTGCTTATATATTAAATCTTTAAAAAATTATACAAATGAACTTGTTTATGAAACAATTTTTCATTGAACTATAATTTCCAACTTTTTAGCTCTATCCTTCCCAGTAATATAGAGAAACAAGCTCCATGACAAAGTTGTCAGTAATAGTGAGTAGTTTTAGTCATTGTTTAGAAAATCACTGGAATTATAGCCATTTCTCACAGAGATATATCTGTGATAGATATGATATGTGATAGATATAGATAGATAGATATAGATAGATATGTGATAGGATAAAAATATCTATCCTCTCCAGATACTCCATGTTGTACAGTTCCGTGGCACTATATATTTTATAAACAAATGAATAAATGTCATCTAAAATTCCCAGAATTTAAACCTATTCCCTGCTTTACTCTAATCTATGTATTTATAGAAACAAATATAACAAGGCATAATTCTTAATTCTATCAGAGAATCAATCATATCCTTAGTGTACTCTCTGATTACAAAGAAAAACTTGAACAATCATAAATTTCAACTTATTGGATTAGCTTTGTGTAGTATTCAAGATATTAGTGTGATACTCTCATTTGTACATGCATGCTTAGTTATCTCTGATCCTTTGGGACCCCTTTTGGACTGTAGATTGCCAGGCTCCTCTGTCCATGGAATTTTTCAAGCAAGTATCCTGCAATGCATTGTCATTTCCTCCTCAGGGGTTCTTCCTGATTCAGAGATCAAACCCTCATTCTCCTGGGTCCCCTGAATTACAGGAGGATTCTTTATCACTCAGCATCTCACAGTCTATTATTCCTCTTTGTATCATGATATTATCAACAGTGAAAAAAACTGCAAATAACAAAAACGATTATAAAACATGCTCTAAGTAAAGCATTATAGAAATGATAAAATCGCAATTGATATAATACAATAAGACCATATAAAATTGCACAAATATATTTGAGGTGTGGCAAAGAGCTACAGGTAAGAGTCAGGCAGAACTACTAAGCAGAAAGGAACTTTGAGATCTTCAGGTTAAAAAGCTTCGATTTACAGATGTATTGGTCATTCCCCATTTGTCTCTTTATGTCCCTCTTCCAGTCTTCTTTACCTTGTTCCAAAACTCAGGATGTTGCTTTCTACAAACAAATACAAAAATATTTTACCCTTTAGATTTGGTTATGTTTGAACAATGAATTCTTAGGATTCAGAGGGTAGGAGGAGAGAGCTGTTGGGGTACTTAGGTCCCTAGCTCCCCTCCTGCTGAGGTAGCTAGTTGTCAGCGCAAGTGTTACTAGGGTTATTCTACCAAAGGCTAGGAACCCCGTATAACCATCCTATAGCTCTGCCCACTGACTCCTTCAAGCCTAAATTCCCATACTGTTAGCCCTGGGCCTATTCATTCTTCCCTGTTGGTTTCTGTTATCTTTTAAAAATACCTTATTAAACTCATGCCAATTGCCCCCTTTTTAGTGCATTGTTGTCTGCTGGGAAATGAACTGATAGGAAAGATGAGATCTCTAAATCCTAAAAAGTGCAAAGACTAACTTATCTTCGTCATATTATCATTTGCTTGTGATCTTATAAAAGCAAGAAGCATTAGCATAGTTATTATAAAGGCTTCTCCTCAAGTACTGGATCAAAAATAACATTCAAAATTTCTAGTGTAAGATAAAACCAAGAGTGTTCCTGTTTGTTCCACTGCATTAAAATGTTAAGCAAAAAGAAAACACATAAACTATAAGTAACAGTCTATTCTTCAGACAAGTCTCAAGAAGTTTCATAAGTGCCTTTTCATTGTACACTCTACTAGGTATCACAGGTTCTGGAAACCTGATCACAGTGACTCAGCTAAGTGGAAGAGCCTAAGGTGGAACTAAGTTCTTTACACATTTGGGCTCTGTGATTCAATCTAGGCACTAATCAGCATAGATGATAAGCTCAATGTTTTTTGAGAAACTAAATTATGTTGCCACATGGGATGAGGAAAAGAGAAATCTGGAAAACAGACATGAACAATAAAATGAGTGGATTGGCAAATTTTACAAAATCTGCAAAAGTCCTTGATTGTAATAAAATGGTTAGGTTCGATACTTCTTGTTGCATATTTATCTCAAGGAAGCCACAATGAGTGTGAACACCAATCCTCAGATTCCTAGTGAAGAGTGAGAGCCTGGGAAACTGTGATACACACAGTCCAACTGAAACCACAATGGTTATGAGGAGATTTTCTGGAGAAATAGCAAGGACGATTAACAAGAACACACTGGTGGCCTTAATTTTCCGACATCATTGCCAAAAGCCACAAGACAAACCTGTGAGTTGGAATGACTCTTCTCCTCCACTAAGTTTTAACTAACAACATAGCAATAATTTGTTACCAAAACAGCTCCAGTATTCAACCAAATTTTTGAAAGAATAGCGGTTTCATTTCATGAACCATGTCACATCATTATCAAGGCAGAACCTTTTCATTTTTATAAACTTGATTCATTTCCACAAGGAAAAAACAGATTATATATAGTAATTATAATCATCAACATTTATGGAAAACTGATACATTACCTGATGAAATGAATTTTTAAAACCCATTATATACTTTCCTTGAGATATAAAGGTAATAAACCCAACTCCTTTTATCTCCATCTGAGCTTCGTGTTTCTTTACAAAGTTGTTTATATTCTGATTTTTATATGCCTGCTCTAGGAGGGACTGTAACTTCAGTACTCTGACCACCTCAGTTGTGTAACTATGTGATAGTTAATGTATGTAAACATCAGGAAACTGTAACATATTAGCAGAAAACAGAGGAAAGCCTGCTAAAATGTTGAAGTTGGGTATTTTTCTTTCCTTTCTAGAATTGAGGAATTCAAAGAATGAGCTATCAGATTTCTGTTCAGCAAGTCACATTTAAAGACCAGGGGCCTAGAGTTGTTTAATCCATACCAGATGTAAGGAACAAAGGTAGAAATAAAGAAAAAGGAGTCTGAATCCTGCATTGCTATAATTAAAAGAAAATAGAATTTTTTTCTTTGTATTAGGGCAAAGGAAAAAGTAATACATACCTAAAACTGTACAAGAAAACTTCAATTTTATCACAGTAACAATTATTATGCTTTAATAATATACCTGTAATTGAGATAGACTTTTTTAACAATTACTTTGTGTTATCTGGTTTATACCCTTTTTTAAAAGCTGTTGATCTAGGAGCTTTTCTTAGGATCTAGTAATACTAATAGAAACTCTGAAACTGTTCTGATACTTTTCTGATGTTTGCTTTTAAGATCTATAATTTCTTCAGATTCCTGAAAATATGTTCAGAATGTAACTACAATGTTACTTTCATTATCATGTGTGCCTGGTCTCTTAGTTGTGCCCAACTCTTTGCAAGCTCAAGGACCATAGCCCACCAGGTCTCATAGCTCACCAGGCCTCACTGTCCATGGGATTCTTCAGGTAAGGATACCAGAGTGGGCTGCTGTTTCCTTTTCCAGGGGGTCTTCCTGACCCAAGGATCGAGTCTCCTGAGTCACCTGTGTTGGCAGGCGGTTTCTTTACCACTGAGCCTTCTAGGAAGCCCCATTTCAATATTGCATAAAATGTTTTTTGTTAGTCCTTATTGGCTGGTGTGAATCCTCTCAATATGTATTACTTAAGTTATAAAACATTTTCTTTAATCATTTCGTTAACATTTTTGTTCCTTTTATTGTTTTACTCTCTTTATTTGAAATGTGTCCCACAAAATTTCCAATTCAAGTTTCATTAGTTCATTAGATCAGTCTTTCAGCTCAATAATTTATTTTTTTAATTAAAAAGTTTTTTAATTAAAGGTATATTTATACTGATATATTTCATTGAATGTTTTACATCTGCCACCAAATTATAAACTTTTGAGATCTCAATTTTTGTCTCTTTTAGTGGTAGCCCACTTTGTTTAGGGAACATTTCATGCAAAGATGGTCTCAATAAAAGACAGAGATGGTATGGACCTAACAGAAGCAGAATATATTAAGAAGAGGTGACAAGAATACACAGAAGAACTATACAAAAAAGATCTTCATGACCCAGATAATCACGATGGTGTGGTCACTCACACTCACCTAGAGTCTGACATCCTGAAATGTGAAGTCAAGTGGGCCTTAGGAAGCATCACTCCGAACAAAGCTAGTGGAGGTTATGGAATTCCAGTTGAGCTATTTCAAATATTAAAAGATGATGCTGTGAAACTCCTGCGCTCAATATGCTGGCACATTTGGAAAACTCAGCAGTGGCCACAGGACTGGAAAAGGTCAATTTTCATTCCAATCCCAAAGAATTCTCAAACTTCTACACAAACTGCACTCATCTCACATGCAAATAAGTAATGCTCAAAATTCTTCAAGCCAGGCTTTAAGCAATGTGTGAACTGTGAACTTCCAGATGTTCAAGCTGGTTTTAGAAAATGCAGAGGAATCAGAGATCAAATTGCCAACATCTGCTGGATCATCGAAAAAGCAGGAGAGTTCCAGAAAAACATCTATTTCTACTTTATTGACTATGTCAAAGTCTTTGACTGTGTGGATCACAATAAACTGTGGAAAATTGTGAAAGCGACAGGAATACCAGACCATCTGACTTGCCTTTTGAGAAACCTGCATGCAGGTCAGGAAGTGACAGGTAGAACTGGACATGAAACAACAGATTGGTTCCAAATAGGAAAAGGAGTATGTCAAGGCTTTATACTATCACACTGCTTATTTACCTTCTATGTAGAGTACATCATGAGAAATGCTGGACTGGAGGAAACACAAGCTGCAATCAAGATTGCCGGGAGAAATAGCAATAACCTCACATATGCAGATGACACCACCTTTATGGCAGAAACTGAAGAAGAACTAAAGAGCCTTTTGATTAAAGTGAAAGAGGAGAGTGAAAGAGTTGGCTTAAAGCTCAAGGTTCAGAAAACTAAGATCATGGCATCCGGTCCCATCACTTAATGGCAAATAGATGGAGAAAAGTGGAAACAGTGACAGGCTTTATTTTTTGGACTCCGAAATCACTGCAGCTGGTGACTGCAGCCATGAAATTAAAAGACATTTACTCCTTGGAAGGAAAGTTATGACTCACCTAGACAACATATTAAAAAGCAGAGACATTACTTTGCCAACAAAGGTCCATCTAGTCAAGGCTATGGTTTTTCCAGTAGTCATGTATGGATGTGAGAGTTGGACTATAAAGAAAGCTGAGTGCTGAAGAATTCATGCTTTTGAACTGTGGTGTTGGAAAAGACTCTTGAGACTCCCTTGGACTGCAAGGAGATCCAACCAGTCCATCCTAAAGGAGATCAGTCCTGGGTGTTCATTGGAAGGACTGATGCTGAAGCTGAAACTCCAATACTTTTGCCACCTGATGTGAAGAGCTGACTCATTTGCAAATACCCTGATGCTGGGAAAGATTGAGGGCAGGAGGAGAAGGGGATGACAGAGGATGAGATGGTTGGATGGCATCACTGATTCAATGGACATGGGTTTGGGTGGACTCTGGGAGTTGGTGATGGACAGGGAGCCCTGGCGTGCTGTGCTTCATGGGGTCGCAAAGAGTCGGATATGACTGAGTGACAACTGAACTGAAATTTAAATTTATTAGTCATGATATAACCAAAACAGACCTTTCAAGAAAATAGTATCTTTTGTTCAAAGTAAATTTTTTTATATTGGTCAGATCCAATTTTTTAAAGACCATTTTTCACATATTGAGTTTCTTAATATAGTCTAGAATAAATATAATTCAAAAATTGAGGTTATATTTAATATTTTGCTGGACATTTTACTGTTACTCTTGATATTTACAAGGTGATAATTTTCACATTGCTAACTTCTTGACTTATATCCAATAATTTATATCCAAATAAAGCTAGGATTTACTTGAAAATCACACATTAAAACTGGGATAGTAAGTATTCCATGTGTAATGTGTTTTGGTGCTTTACCTCATTTCTTTAGAGCACTTAAGATATTACCCTAAGAGATAGTATTTTGATATATGTCTATCTATCTATCATCTATGTAAAAGCCCAGAATGTGACACGACTTCATTTCAAACACTCTCTCTGTAAGTTTTTTCTTTCTTTATTTTTTCATTTATTTTTATTAGTTGGAGG